ACTAGTAAAATGTAGTTGAATTAAATAATGTTAATATTAGTTTCGAAATTGATTGCAAACGCTTTGGACAACAAGCAATTAAATAGAATCATGGTTTTGTAAGAAATTAAGGAAAAGAATTTTTAAGCTAATAGGAATTACAAATTTCAATAATAAATAACTTATGGAAGGAGAACGCTAGCTGTAACATTTACATCGTTCTGTTATTATCGTTAGATTGTAATAGATGTTCATATGCCACACATTTATTTGATCATTCCTTACAATAAATAAAAAATAAAAGAACGCATTATGATTTATATAAGTGAAGGATAAATCACAACGAAATAAAATGAATCTTTTTTTCTCAAACAAAATTATATCAAGCTATAAATTGGATAATGCCCAAGCCAAGCATCTTTCGAAATTTCCGTCAAAATACCGAATGACGCAATGAACAAGATCGATCTTGTCGATCACACGCAACCAGTTAAATATTTACCAGACCTAGAATAACCGGAAACGCTTAAAAATACGGCCGGTCCTCGAAAGCACATAGAAAATGAACGTGAACGACGCCACACGTTCCATCGTCACCAAATATCTGAACTAATGTTTGCTTGGCGGCGTGCAACAGTGTGAGCGATGCATGAACGTTGTCAGGAAAAACAGTCACATTGATTCGCATTTCAACCGAAAATATGGTAAATAACGCTGTTACAAATTATTAAAAAATATGTGTCGTAGTTTTTCTTATTGTTAGTTGAACGCGATTTCAAACACAGACAAGGAAATATACACATTCAACATTTCCCTTTCATTGATAGGCTTTATCCTCGAAAATGTTTTATACGCCGAATAAACATTGTTTTTTCAGTACCAAACTAACAATTGAATTTTTCCTGGCAGTTGATTAGTAATCGTATCGTTCTAATAGGCCGATGTAAGAACTATGACCGGATTTATTAATTTGCGTTCATATATAATTTTTCTAGTATATCTTGTTGCTTGTGAAACTTACAAAAGGTATTTTAAAATATGCAGACTAAAACAGAAATGATCTTTGAAGTGATATTATAATTAACAACATAAGAAAGTTCACAACGGTTAATCGATGATTTGATTGAAAAATAAAACGCTTTAATTCAAAATGTTTAGTGGTTTTTAATCATGCAAATGCAATATCTGGTTGGTATTAGGGTCACAGTCGCAAATGGGAACGTTTCATTTACTCTCTTGATTAGCACGTGAGTGCATGTTAAATTGTCGAGGTTCACGAGCCCAGCTCCCACGATTCACGTCCGAATCTGATGAAACAATGGCGTCAAGAGTCTTCGAAAAGACTTATCTTGTTTAGCGGGCTGCCACGATCGGACGCGTGATTTACTCCGATGACGCAAGAAATGAGATCCCCTTCGAGGAATTAGTATGCGTGGTGTGATTAAATCGGAGCACCAAGATCGATCAAACAAGAGAATTATATTCTTTGTTTTCCATTATCATGTTCGGATCGAGTTGCATGTTATTTTCTTTGGAGATCAGCCATTCTTGACCTGTATAAATGGAGGAAGGCTACGAGAACGTTTCGATCAGTAGTGATATTATTGTTAAAACTCTTGAAAAACTATTTAAACCCTCTTTAAAAACAGATAGGTTTTTCGAAAATGCTTGAATAAATTTCTTCATTATACATTCTAATTAAATATGGCAAAAGGTGTAAATAAATTCAGCAACATATGTCAGTCATTTCTAGCGCTCGGTATGTTTAATGTTAACTAATTATTGGTATTAAGGATTTAATTGTAGGATAATTCTGCGCACTATTTACAGAATTCTTTAAAAATGATAAACCATTTTTCGCGAATTTCCGTTTTGCATAACGAAGGAGTACGAATAGTTTGTAGTGACGTTATGAAATCTATTAGCGTAATTAATTTAGCACGATGAGTTATTGAAATTTGATCTACTGTTCAAACATTAGCATAGAGCTTTACAGTCACCAATTAGGAGTCGATAATTTGATAATAACATTATTCAAATATGACGTAGATAATATCAATTTATTTCAAAATAGAATAAAATAATAATTTATTATGTGAAATATTAGTATATACAATAGTGTTTCACGCTCACCAATTAGGTGTCGATGATTTTATAATAAAATTGTTTAGATTACAAATAATATCAACTTACTCCAAAATAGAATTAAATAATAATTTAAATAAGTAACAGTGTGATATAATAGCAACATATTACTATATGTATATGCTATATGCAATGGAGGCATTATTTTAATTACAGAAAAAAACGAAAACTGGAATCAGAAATTTGTAAAAGTTATGGACCCTGCGTGCGAAGTCCTACAGTTGTATTGATTTAGTGTGTGTATTGAACGCACATGGGCGTTCACCGCACGAATGTTATTGCGTAATCGATCACAAATATAAAACGGGAACCATTGATAACAGAGAGAATCCTGGTCTCAAGGACAGTTAGTTGAAAGGATTATTTAACAAGGATTGGAATAATTAGTTATCTTTGATTTAACCTTTTGACTGGCTATGTTGGACATAATTGTCGGATATCTCCCGTGTCAGAAATATTCGCCTAAGTAATATGTTTAGTTATTAATTCCTTTTCATCTACTTCCATGTAAATACATTATAAAATCGATTCGAAGCATTCCTTAAAAATCGAATCATTTTTCCGGAGTTTAAGGATCTGAGTTAGGTAAAAAAGGATTTATCATAAAGAGCGAATTTTCAGCTGTAATTTAAGCTCGAGAATTCCTATGGTATTCGATACAAGAAAATTATTCTAACTCAGTATAGTAGTATACTAAGTTCATTGAAATTAAGTATACGGAGTACATACTTGATTCTTATCGATAGTTGAAATGAGGTATATAGAATACTCGATTTTTGCTAGTATTTACGAGTCGCTAAAGCAGCAACCTTCTCGTGGTGAGACCTGAGCAATCAATATCATCAAAGACGAAGTATAGGAGTACCTACAACCAATGCAAATTTTCATCACCCAAAAGTAGGGCTTCAGAAGTTTCATTACCATTTCCGTGCCGGTAATCGTTATCGATATTTTAGAAACTTAAGATTCTTAGTGGTAACCGTGTATTACATATACCTCATTTGTATTACGGCATGTTTTATTTGCTTTATGATTTTGAAGCCGCAAATGCATATGACATATACGTGTATATTGAAACGACTCTTTTAAATCTGGAGCTAGGAGCTTTACAAGCTTCGAAGTGTGTGTGTGCAACGTAGATGATTTACCGAAATAATTTTTTGGAATACTTGCGCTTCAAAAACTTTTCTCTACTCTGAGTTCAGTTAGCTATTTTTGTCTATATATTAGATTGTAAAACAAACGAGAAAGTACTAGAGGATATGATCAGGAAAAGAAATTTTTATAATTGTTAAACAGTTAGAAATAATAAATTTATCTATAGAATATTTTCGATGTAACAGTTCTTCGACACACAATCGTGCTTTAAAAATCACTCTAATGTAAAAATTAAATGGCAAAATAGCCAAGGCAATGCTTAATCATATCTCTAACAAAAGGAATTGTTATAAGTATTAAGAAGTGCAATTGCAATTTGTGCAATTGAAATTTTCTTGTTATTTGAACCTCGTTGGTATCTTTTATAAAAAAATTTAGATGATACAATAGTCTTGCGCTTAATAGTTTCCTAGCAAAATAAACTTGTCAACATTAAATCTTAATATTCGAGGAAACATATCGTATGAAAAAATCAAAATGAATTTCCCTCGTGAAGCTGCTTAAATAAATACAACAAATTTAACTTGGAACATTCTTTGATAATCTTAGCAGGAAACGTGTTATTTCAAATGATAATTTTTATTGATTAATCCTGCTCAAATAAATGTTCATTAAAAGTAGCTTTTAGTATTGCATTTTGAAATTGGTTTAATAAGCGATTGTATATCTTCGTGCCTAATTGTAGATTTTTACAAGACTAGCGAAAAAGAAAAAGAACAATACCTTTCTTTTTGTTGCATTTGTTTCAACATAATGTCTGCGAGCGGGTCAGCAGGCGGTCTCTCTCCCAGGAGTCTCTGTCGATCTAAGTCGCCTTGCATTTGTGCAAACGCGTGTTCACCGATGTTCACGCAGGTTTCCATTTGTGTAGACAGCTCCACACTCTCGTCGCCTGTAATAATAGATCATAAAAATTTATGTACTTCTCTTTTCGTAATAATATAACATGTATAAAATATTAAAAAATACAGTAATTATTAAACACAGTGAACCGAACAATGTTATTTGACTTACTCAAGAATTTAGACGGATTATATTTATTTAATTAATATTATACTGGGCACAAGTATAAATAATAATTTATAATTTATGTGTTTTGTACGGTTTTCAGTGTTTTTACTCATTTTTTTTAGGATACTATTCTAAAAATCGGTACTTTTATAAACCTCTTATTAACTTAAATCTTAAGTATAAACGAGAGAGATTCAACAAATAGGGTCGAGGTGATACAATAAAACTTGCCAAGTCTCTAGGGAGGAAAAGTTTTCGTGATGTGAATTCTGCAGCTATTTAAGAATTGATAGTAGAAGAAGAGTTTAATGTAGCAAGTTTGGAGGGAATGGTGTCCCAGGACGACTAAATTAATTCGAAGCTAAAACTGCTCTAAAGAACATACAAACATTGATCAAAATTTCACTAGAAGAAGCATACATTTTCAAAGAGAACTTCAAAAGCAGTCACGTGCTGTGTAATACCAGCTGTAAAGAAACTAGTATATTCTATTATGTTTTGAAGTCGTTTTTAATGTATAGACATATTTTATTCAAATAGTTGAAAAATTAGAGACAAAATTGTACTGTTTATTGAAGGTTACATAATTCTTCAATGTGAAAATCTCAGAAAAGTTTCAAGTTGTTTGATACCAAATGAGTTAAACACAATTTAATGCATAGAAAGATATTTATTCTAATCATTCATCAATGGAAACAAATATCACTAACACAGTTCTTTGTGACTTAAATTTTGGACTTTGTCCAGATAGCATGCGCTGTTCGAAATTCTGAGCGTGTAATGAACCTATAATAAGCGATGAAAACTTAGTTTAGAAAGTCATTTAACTCTTGACCATTTTCATTAGGTCACGATAATTTTTATGTACTTAGAATTATCAGAATGTTTTACATTTGTATCTGGAATCAGTTATCGATGTTTATAGAGCACTACTTTTTCATCTATGTATAGTATTAAATTGTAAACGGAATGTATTTGCAAATTTTACCTAGCTATTAATTGTTAACGTATTTCACACACGTGTATTTTGTAATGTTCGACAACATACTCAGCGGCGGACATTTTGTGATGTCAGAAGATTATATTACACGTTACTATTACATATTATTTCACAATAACGTAAAAATTGGCAATTTTTAGACCGAAGAGTCCTAGATTGGAATTTTTGGAAACACAACAGAGCACTCCCGAACTGGTTATTGTGATATTGAAGGGTTAAAATGAAATATTCGGAACCCTTGCAAGTCTCGTTTAGATTGAAACTAGAGGTTGCGGTTTTGAACGTGTATTAAAATACACGTGTACATGGGACACGTGTATCGTGTATTAAGAAATTACAAATTAATGTTTCTAATACACGTATGCACGAATATTAAAAAAAAATGTTTTGTTAATGACAAAATTTTATTCGAAGACCACAAATGAATCTTCGAGCTCCGGAAGTCAAACACCCAGCGATCGATCAACGGCATACAATGTAAGCAGCTAGGGAATCACGCCTAAATGAAAATTTAAACTTTTACATTTTTTGATACACTTTCAAAAGAGTATTAGTTATGAATTGAGGAGCTTATCCCGATGAAAATGAGTTCAAACATAACGTCATTCGAACTTCATTCAATAATATATAATCTTTACATAACATTACTTTTAATACAAAATACACATGTAATAGAAATAACGTGTAATACAAATACGGGGGAATCCGCGTATTAAGAATTACACAGGTTAAAGTTCGTAACTGTTAATTACACGTATACACGTGTACTTAATATACGTGAAATAGGAACCTCTACTTGAGGTTCCTTCTATGCGTGTATAGTAGGATCCCAGTGTAGTAGGTAAATAAAGCCTCACACCCTTAAAGTGGCATATCATTTCTAATGGCTAGACAGACTACGTAATTTTATGTAAATTTACATCGCCTCAAATAGAAAGTAAAAGAGTAAAGACGAGGAAAAGTGAAGAATTAAAAGAGCAAAGATGTAAAGGAGCAGACTACTTGTTGCTTCATCTAATTTTAAACTTTCGAGTGAGCTATACATAGATGACGCTACTATGTAACAACAAGCTTGTAACAGTTTTGCAGTATTTTCTGTATATTTTTCTCTAATATGTGGAATATAAATATATGTAGAAAATGAAATTTAAATTGTGCTCTATTTTCAATGCCGGGTAAAATAATAATTGAAGTACAAAAGTATTTTCGGATACAATTTCGTAAACTGTGTAAGCATTAGTTAAGTTGAAATCGCTTTTTACTTTCTCGTTAACATAAACACTATTTTAAACATTTCTTTGATTTCGCATGTACAAGCCTTATGTATATTAATTATTTTATTTACTTATCTCTTAGAAATAATACTATCTAAAATAATTATTTATTTTCACATGTATTTGACATGTTGTTTTCAACCTAAACTTGAAATAGTCAATAGAAATGAAAAAATTTCTCTTGAATATCATTTACATAAAATTGTTAACTTAATGCATTCTTGCACGTGGTTAATCTTGCACAACATCGTATTAAGGATTATATAACACTGATATTTACGTT